CCCCTGGGGCGGGGCCAATTTTGACCCCAGGGCTTTTATTTGAACAAACTTGGTAGACACTCACTAGAAGATATTTCATGCCAAATATCTTAGCTCTAGCTCTTTGGGTTCCTTAAAAGAAGATTTTTTAAGTTTTTACTATATGCATATAGGGAAAATCAATGACCTCCTGGGGCGGGGCCAATTTTGACCCCAGGGCTTTTATTTGAACAAACTTGGTAGACACTCACTAGAAGATGTTTCATGCCAAATATCTTAGCTCTAGCTTTTTTGGTTTTTTAAAAGAAGATATTTAAAGATTTTTCTTTCGGTTGCCATGGCAACCAGAGTTCTGCATGGAATTAAATTCTTTGAACAATTTTTAAATGTGACCACCAAAGGAACATTCCTGTGAAGTTTGGATGAAATTGGCTCAGTGGTTTATGAGGAGATGTCATTTAAAGCAAAAGTTTACGGACGGACGACGGACGGACGACGGACGAAAAGCGATCACAAAAGCTCACCCTGTCACTTTGTGACAGATGAGCTAAAAAAAAACAAGTAAAAGGTTAATACCACAGGCACGAGTATCGGACCTGTGAAGAAAAATATGACCTGACTGATAAAAAAATCTGTGCTCATCTTAAAAGTGTCAAAAACCAAAAAAAAAAAGTAAATTATGACCCCCTTTAAAAATATACTATAAGTTAAGAGAAGGCCGGAAACTCCAGATTCGAGCCCACGAGCAAGGGATTCACTTTCCGGGCCGTTGTGAAAACAATAATTGTCCAGACAATTAAAAAAAAATTTATCACTATTTCACGTTTATATTAAGCTTCCAAATGAGACCGACCCCAAGTCTCTAGCCCTTCCCGTTCATGAAATATCTATCAGGAAACAAGCGCATTCGTGCTAAAAATCCTTGGTAGACAAAAAAGTGGCACAACAATTCGGTACGTAAACATAGACTAATACAGTCATGTTTGCCAGCCGAGTACGTGTCAAAATCACTTGAATTTACTAAATGATATTACTAAATACATTAAGTTGGACCACTCACAACAAAATAAGATAAAGACTAGTTTCTGTTCATTTGTTCAACGGATCGGAACCACTTGAGCAATTGCTATAAAGACTGTAAATCGGGCTAGTCGGAAACGATTCACTGACTGTGCAGGTCAAATCTTTGTGATTGATATTGAAATCATTTCGATGGTTATTCAAAAGCTATCAGTTCCTTGCGAAAGTAATAGCAACTACTACCAGAAAACTGCTTAAAGGCCTGTCCAGGAACGATGCGATGTGATTTGAGGTAAAACTACTACCAACACTACCACGACCATTGCTGTATAGTTCAAAATATAACAAACAAAACTATTGTTTTGCGATGCAACATAACATTAAATAAACTAAAAACAATGTGTTTTTTTTTTTACTTAAAGTTTTAAAGTTTTCAATATTTTGTTATTTCTCGAATATCTGGGTCTTTAAAGTACGAATACTGATCTTGGCTTCTAAAGTATAAATATTGATAGAGGGGTCGAAATGTCTTAGCCACTAGGGGTCGGAAAGTCATTTAAAAAGTGGTAGGAGTGTTAAGGGGTCTAGAAGTCATCTTAATATCCTAAGCGTCGAGAAGTCAAGGGGTCTAAGTGTCTTACTTGGCTACAAGATGATGCTTCATCTCATATTTAAACCCAGAGAAGATGATTTATAATTTAAGTATATGTAAACTAAGTCACACCACTAAACAAAGGTGGGATATTTTAACCCCAGGGGCATGACGTACATAACATTTATAGATGTCCATTAGGCAGTGCTACATGCCAAATATGTAAGCTATGGAATTATAGTTGCACAAACGATGACTTAAATGGTTTATGTGTACACTAACTATATCAGTTAGGTGAACCCTTATGGGGGCAAATAAATATTTGTTTCATCCAATGAGCATGATTTATATATCCTTTGTTAATGACAACAAGGCGATGTTACATGTCACATATCTACGATCGAGGTATTAATGTTTCTGAGAACAAGTTTTTTAATGATCATATTTGAAGTCTATTTTTATCTTTTGCAACCTACTAATGCACCAGACTGAAACCGTTTATACCACTTTTTAGGACGACCTAAGAATCATGTCAGCATATTTGGTCAAAATCCATCAAGTGGTTTCGAAAGAGCTGTTAATTGTTTTACGAAACTGTGGACATCGACAAAAGGCGGACACACTGTCATCACAATTTTTAACTCACTTTTGTGCTACATTAATCTTAAACAACAAGTTCATTACATCAAGAACAATGCTATCAGCATCAGATAAATGACGCATTAAAATTTCAAAAAGTAGAGGAATAAGACGGACAGACTCGTTGGGGAATGGTTAGTATAATCGTGATCGGATGATTTCATATTGACCTGTTATTTGGTCAAAAGACTTTTGTATTTTTATTAATTGTTTATGTTTTTTATTTTTTGAAACAAAATAGCGACTTTCATTCTTTAAATTCCTATCAACGTTTTCGTATTGGCAAAAGTACGTGCATTGACCTTCCTTTTCTGCATTTGCCATGTTTCCCTCGTATTGACATTGATAATCTTGTATTAGCATTGTAATAAAATATGCTGGCTAGAAATAGTATGGTACACAACAATGTTTAACGAACTTTATTCCCACCTAATGTTTCAGGGAAAACAAATTGAATTAAAGACGAGAAATGTCGAACAACACATATGCCCCCCCGCCCTTTCTAGCCCTCGACTCATACTATTGGTAATTTTGTTATAGAAACATGCTATAAATGGGTACATGGAAGTGTTCCGTTATGGAAAAGAAAATATGACCTGAAACTGAAAGAAAACTGTCATTTTTGGAGAGTAGCTGGAATAAAATATATACAGTTGACTCTAAATAAGTCAAAAAGAAAGTTGACTCGTCCCAGTCTGAAAGGTGTTAGGCAAATAACAGCCTAGGTATTGATGTGTGTTATCGATACAATACAATACAATTGATGTGTGTTATCAACGTAAATGACATTTGTATAATTTATGTTCCGCCATATTACATACATTAGTTGCTACTTTAATTTTCGTCCGATGATCATTAGATAAATTGTTGTTGAAATAAATGTGTTATTGTGCTTTTATTGTAATGAATTGTCATGAGTGCTTGTTAAAAACATATGCTTTACTGATGAATACTGACAAACTTGCATTTATGTCATTGCTACGAATGTTTGTGTTTATGTTTCACTATTAATATACATGTATTAAATTTTGAATAATATATTTTTGTTCATTTATAATTTGTAGTTGTAAGTGATTTACCATCATTTCAACGGTTAAATATTGCAGCATTGCCTTTATCAATAATAACAAACCTACTTCTTTGCACATTCAATCAGGCACATGTATATACATGTACGAATGTCAACGTAATGGCGACAGATCCACGTTACTCGAATTCCGTTTCTCTCAAAGTAAAATGCCCAGTCCCTTGGAATTCGAGTTACCGAGAGTCAACTGTTTTATCATATAAATGTAACAATTCTGACATTTAAGGCCCCTGTGACCTTGACATTTGACCCCAAAATCAATGAGGGTCATCATCTGGCCAATCAATATATGAAATATGAAGAGTTTGTGATAAATAGTTTTTAAAATAATGAGCCGAAACCATTCTGACATTTAATGCACCTGTTACCTTTTACCTTTGACCATGTGACCACAAAGTCAATAGGTGTCATCTACTTGTAATGACCGATTAGTATGTGAAATATGAAGACTTTGTAATATATATATTTTTAACATAACCAGCGGAAACCATTCTGATATTTAACGCCCCTGTGACCTTGACCTTTGAACTAGTAGCCCCAAAATCAATAGGCATCATTAACTCGTTACTCGTAATCAGTATGTTAAACATGAAGACTTTGTGATGAATAGTTTTCAAGATAATCATTCTTAACCATTCTTACATACAGCGCCCCTGTGACCTTAACCTTTGACCTAGTAACCCCAACATCAATAGGGGTCATTTTCTAGTTACGACCGATCAGTTAGTGAAACATAAAATTTTGTGATGAAAAGTTTGCTATGTAATCAGCGGAAAACATTCTGACATTTAAGGTCACCTTAAGGTCTGTGACTTTGACCTAGTAGCCCAAAAATCAATAAGGGGTCATTTACTAGTTATGACCAATCACTACATGAAATATGAAGAGTCACTGTGACCTTGACCTTCGACATAATGACCCCAAAATCAATAGGGGTCATCTACTAGTTATGATCAATAAGTATGTGGTATATAAAGACATTGTTACTAATAGTTTTCAAAATAATCAGCGGAAACTATTCTAATATTTAAGATCACTATGACTTTGACCTTTGACTTAGTGTAGTGACCCATAGGGGTGATCTACTAGTTATCCCCAATCAAAATGTGAAATACAAAAAGACTTTGTGATATATAGTTTTCAAGATTATCAGCGGAAACAATGTGGTCTACGGACGGACAGACAGACCGACCGACCTGGTGACACCCACCGACCGACCTACCGGTCGACCGACATAAGCAAAACAATATACCCCCTTTTCTTCGGAGGGGGGGGGGCATACAAATACTCATGATCAACAATTATGGCGTTTCAGTATTACAAAAATGTCTATTACGACTTAGTCACTTAGAGTACAATATGAATTTGATATGAACGTTTTTGACACAGAAACTGACAACGAGGCTAGTGGTATATAAAATTAATTTGAAATAGATTATATTTTTGGGGGATGAAATCGATGCTAGATGGCGTAAAATATGAATTGATACAGACTTCTGGACTCAGGAAATGAACATGAGAAGAAAAAAGGTTGGATCAAATAATGAATTGATGATATTAGAACATCATATTGTGCAAAACTGAAGTTTCAATGGTTATATGTTGTAAGGGGTGAAGTACAAAGGAATACGTTTAGTAATATATATAGAAAACAAATGAAGTTATGTGATTTATATCACTTACTTTGTTTAGAATCAATATATCCTTTTTCTTTCTCGTCTTTATGTGCTGTTTTAAGTCTTTTGCATAACGTCTCTCCTAATTCAGCCAGATCTGCTCGTTCTTTATCTCCTTCTTCGTGGATTTTCTCAACTGCTTTGTCCTGTTCTTCATGCAATCTTTTAACAGAAGCATTAGCTTCATCTTTTAATTGTGACTGAAGAGATAGAAGATCTTCTTGTTTTCTTTTGATCATATCTAGTTTAATTCTGTCATAATGCCCATCTAATCCAGCCTTCATCTTGTCTTGAATTGCCTTTGCCACATCGTCTAGTATTTTTCTTACATCATCTTTTCCAATGACTAAAGTGTCATTTTCTAACTGTAATTATAAATAAGATACAAATATACAATATAAAATTGTAAAACAAGAGGGCCATCATGGCCCTGAGTCGCTCACCAGAAACAACTGCTTTTCAGTGATGGAATGTCAATATATTATAATATTAAATTTGAGAATAGAATATGTTTAAACAATAATTTCAAGAAATGCCATGACCTGGGGCATTTAAGCGTTAGCTTAAACGGGGCTTATCAAATTAATATGAGCAAACTTGATACAAAACTACCTAAGAATGCCACAAAGTTTTGTAATCATCTTTCAATTATTAAAAGTAGAAAATGATGTTCGAAAGTTTTTTTTTTCTATTTTTAGCTTTAGTGGCCCCTAAAAGGGGCTAATCAAATTAATAAAAGCAAACTTGATTAAAAGACTACCCAAGAATGCTACAGACAATTTTGGTGATCATCCATCTATTAGTTCTGTATAAGAAGATGTTTAAAGGTTTTTCTATTTTTAGCTCTTCTGACCCATAAAAGGGGCCAATTGAAATGACATGAGAAAATTCAAGTGTGACTGTCACAAGGACCAAATTTAATTAAATCTACTAAGTAGTTTCAGAGAAGAAGACGATTGTTGACGCATAACGACGGACGACGGACGCCGGAGCATCCCCCTTTGAAACTAATAGCTCCCCGTGAGCCTTCGGCCCTGGTGAGCTAAAAAAGTTAAATAAATAAAAAATACAAAATAAATAAATAAATAAATAAAATGAACAAATACATTGTAATGTAATTCAAAAAAAACAAATATTAAACAAGAGGGCCATGATGGCCCTGAGTCGCTCACCAGAAACAACTGCAGTGTTGGAATGTCAATATATTTAGACAAAGTTTGGTGATCATCCATTAATTAGTTCTGTAGAAAGAGACATTGCAAGGTTTATTTTGAGCAAATTTGATAAAAGACAACACAAGAATGCTACAGACAAAGTTTGCTGATCATCCATCCATTAGTTCTGTAGAAGAAGATGTTTAAAGATTTTTCTATTTTTAGCCCTAGAGACCCTAAAAGGTGCCAATCAAATTAATATGAGCGAACTTGATAAAAGACTACCCAAGAATGCTACAGACAAAGTTTTGTGATCATCCATCAATTAGTTCTGTATAGGAAGATGTTTAAACATATTTCTATTTTAATTTTAGAGGCCCCTAAAGGGGCTAATCAAATTAATATGAGCAAACTTGATAAAAGACTACCCAACGATGCTAAAGACAAAGTTTGGTGATCATCCATCAATTAGTTCTGTAGGAGAAGATGTTTAAAGGTTTTTCTATTTTTAGCCCTTGAGACTCCTAAAACGGGTCAATCAAAATAATATTAGCAAACTTGATAGAAGACTACCCAAGAATGCTACAGACAAAGGTTGGTGATCATCCATCAAATAGTTCTCTAGACATAGACATTTAACAATATTTCTATTTTTAGCTTTAGCGGCCCCTAAAAGGGGCCAATCAAATTAATATGAGCAAACTTGATAAAACACTACCCAAGAATTCTACAAACAAAGTTTTGTGATCATCCATCAATAAGTTATGAAGGAGAAAATGTTTAAAGGTTTTCTAGTTTTAGCCATAGAGACCCCTTAAAAGGGCCAATCAAAATAATAGTAGCAACCTTGATAAAAAGAACTACCTAAGAATGCTACAGACAAAGTTTGGTGATCATCAATCAATTAGTTCTGTAGAAATATACGTTTAAAGGTTTTTCTATCTTTAGCTTTAGCGGCCGTTAAAAGGTGCAAATCAAATTCATATGAGCAAACTTGATAAAAGACTACCCAAGAATGCTACAGACAAGGTTTGGTGATCATCCATCCATTAGTTCTGTAGAAGAAGATGTTTAAAGATTTTTCTATTTTAGCCCTAGAGACCCCTGAAAGGGTCCAATTAAATTAACATGAGCAAACTTGATAAAAGACTACCCAAGAATGCTACAGACAAAGTTTGGTGATCATCCAACAATTAGTTCTGTAGAAGAAGATGTTTAAAGGTTTTTTTTCTATTTTTAGCTCTGCTGACCCCTAAAAGCGGCCAATTAAAATGACATGAGCAAATTCAAGTGTGACTGTCACATGGATGCTACAGACTTAATTTGAAATAAATCTGCTAAGTAGTTTCAGAGAAGAAGACGATTGTTGACGCATGACGACGGACGTCGGAGCATCCTCCTTTGATACTAATAGCTCACCCTGGTGAGCTACACATGTGGTGGTGGTGGTAGTAGCTTTAGTAAACTAGTAGTTTTAGTAAACTAGTAGTTTAAGTAAATCAGTAGTTTTAGTAAATTAATAGTAGTAGTAGTAGAAGTAGTAGTAAGTAGCAGTAATAAGTAGCAGCAGTGTGTAGCAGTTGTTATTGTTGGAGTGGTAAATTGAAGTAGTAGTATAGTAATAGTAGAAAGTAGCAACAGTTAGTAGCAGTAGTAAGTTACAGTTGTAATTAAAGGAGAAGTAGTAAGAAGCAGTTGTAGTAGTAAGAAGAAAAGAAGTTTAAAAAAAGAAGTTTAAGAAAAAGAATAAAAAGAATGAGTAGTAGTAGTAGTGGTAGTAGAATGGTAATTGTGTTAGTGGCTGTGGTGGTAGTGGAAGTGGTGGTGGTAGTTGTAGAAGTTGTGGTTTAATAAGTAAAAGTAGTGGTACTAGAATAGGTAGTGATAGTGGTGATAGAAATAGTAGAAGTGATGGTTGTGGTGGTGGTGGTAGTGGAAGTGGTGGTAGTAGTTGTAGTGGTGGTGGTGGTGGTGGTGGTAGCAGAAGATTTAGTAAATTAGTAGTTGTAGTATTTAGTAACATTAGAAAGAAGCGGTAGTAATTGTAGTAGTAGTATTAGTAAGTACCAGTAGTAAGTAGCAGTAGTGAGTAGCAGTTGTTATTGTAGTAGTGGTTAATTGTAGTAGTAGTTAGTAATAGTAGTAAGTAGCAGTAGTAAGTTGCAGTTGTAATTGTAGAAGTAGTAGTAGTAAGAAGTTGTAGTAGTAAGAAGAAGAAGTTGAAGAATAAGAAGTTTAAGAGGAAGAAGAATGAGAAGTAGTAGTAGTAGTTGTAGTAGTAGTAGTAGTGGTAGTGGTAGATTTGGTGATGGTTGTGGGGCTGGTGCTAGTGGAATTGGTGGTAGTACTAGTGGTGGTAGTGGTGGTGCCGGTGGTGGTGGTGGTGGTAGTATTAGTAGTAGAAGTTTTAGTAAATTAGTAGTAGTAGTGTTAAGTAACATTAGAAAGAAGCGGTATTTATTGTAGTTGTAGTATTAGTAAGTACCAGTAGTAAGTAGCAGTAGTGTGTAGCAGTTGTTATTGTAGTGGTGGTTAATTGAAGTAGTAGTTAGTAATAGTAGTAAGTAGCAGCAGTAAGTAGCAGTAGTAAGTTACAGTTGTAATTGTAAAAGTAGTAGTAGTAAAAAGAAGTTGTAGTAGTAAGAAGACGAAGTTGAAGAATAAGAAGTTTAAGAGGAAAAAGAATGAGTAGTAGTAGTAGTAGTTGTAGTAGTAGTAGTGGTAGTGGTAGTTTTGGTGATGGTTGTGGTTGTGGTGGTAGTGGAAGTGGTGGTAGTAGTAGTAGTGGTGGTAGTGGTGTAGGTGGTAGTGGTAGTTGTAGTGGTATTGGTAGTTGTGGTGGTGGTTGTGGTGGTGGTAGTGGAAGTGATAGTTGTAGTAGTAGTAGTAGTAATAGTAGTAGTAGTAGTATTATAAGTAAAAGTAATGGTACTAGAATAAGTAGTGGTAGTGGTGGTAGTAGTAGTAGTAGTGATGGAGTGGTGGTAGTGGTTGCTGTACTGGTTGAAGTGGTAGTAGTAGTGGTGGTGGTAGAGGTAGTGGTGGTGTTGGTAATGGTGGTAGTAGTAGTGGCGGTGATGGTGGTGGTGTTGTAAGCGGTAGCAGTAGCAGTAACAGGGGTAAGTAGCAGAAGTAAGTAGCAGTTGTAATTGTAGTAGTAAGAATTAGTAGTAAGTAGTAATAGAAGAAGAATAGATGTTTACCTCTGTCAGTTTCTTTTTAGCATTTTGTGCATGCGTGTCTGTAGCTAAATATACTTGATCATAAAGTAGATTCTGTAATAGTTTGAAGTATTTTTGAAGATCTGTATCCTCTACTTCAAATGTTGAAGAATGTCGTACTTTTCTTCCAATTTCTCTTGCCTGGTCAAAATTGAATAAAAATTCTAATTTACTTTTACCTAAAACCTATAGTTTGAGTATAAAATATATACGTTTACTGAGAAACTGTTACGTTATACATGTAGTAAAATAATACTTACTAGGACTTGTATAAATAATGAATTACAAACACGATAAGAGCTGTGTTGAGCTTAAATGTCATTATAAGCTGGAGGTGTGGTCTGCTAAGGGAGTGGTTTGATAGAGGAGTGGTCTGCTAGAGGAGTTGTCTGCTTGTTGCATTAACCACTGCCGTCTGCGAAGGGTCGTTGTCATATTTTCCCGGGAGTATAAGTTATGTTGTAGTGTTACGTACCAGTACCCCTCTTTGGTGGTAATACTTCTGTTAAATTAAGTTTGAAATTTAAAAGAAAGTAAGAAATCTTAAAAATACAGAGGTTGCGAGCAAAATAAATTTTTTATACTCGCCTACAAATCTTTCTAACCGACATTCCCCTATGAAACAATGTGCTTTATTTTCAGAAAGCATAACAACAATCTAAGTGTATTATATATATCATACAATACTGTTGTATCTTACTTTAAATTAGATCACTGAAATATACATTTGTTGTTTTTGGTAACTAAGGACCAAACGTAAGTCTACATAAAAAGTATCTTAATATTGTTTACCTCCTCAAACATATTCTTCTTATTGTTCAGGTTCTCATGGATTTTCCCCTGGAAGCCTTTGTAATTGAGAATAACGCTGATTATACCATTGAAGTCTGTTTCTGCTGCAGATGTTTTATCTTTGTACCCATCTGGAGGCATGAAGCATTTCGCCACTTCCCAGAAATTACTACACCACTGTGAAGCATCAGTGTTTTTGTAAGATGGACCAGAGTACCTATGTGCATTCTGTATCTCAGTTGTGAAATTATGACATATCTTGTTAGGGCAGCCGGCAGGATTATACCTTGTTGCAGCATTTCGATGATAACTGCATTTTCCACGTCTAACATTACATATTGTATTTGTTGGACATTTAATAATATTTGCCGTACAGCAATTTGAACACAAAGTCCCATTAAATAGTCCATTTTGGTAACATATATCATCTAAGCATTTCAATTGGAATTGTTTGATTTCATTGCTAACAAAAGGTTCAATACCTTCTTTAGTAAACAACACTGCTAACTGAGATTTAACCCAGTTATTGTACTTCTTTTCTAAAAATTTAGGGCTATAAGAAGCCATTACTTGCAAACTTTGTGTCTTCCAAATTAAAAAATTATATACACTGGCATGTCTTGTAAGCTAAGCTCCGAGGTAAGCCTGAAAAAAAATAATTATGTAAATTGCCATAGTATATTATTTCATTTCAAGAGGGATCTTTCACTATCATTTAAAGGTGTGATGCAATTCAATTTAGTTCAGATATGTATTCAGGTATTTGATTACTCTCCTGCGCATCGGTAGAATGTTCCACTTTCGCTCACTTTCTGAAGTAACGTGAGTGTCTTCAGTGAGCTGCGAAGGAGGCGTAGTATTTGATACAATTATAGTAAATAAATGCAATTGTTTTCATACTCTTTACGATGACAGTGCTTGTTAAAAAAGAAATAAAAATGCAGCAATTCAATGCCTGAAAATATAGGCAGATATATTTTACTTTTAATTTCAAATTTATAATAACAGAAGATATATCGAAATGCACATAACTTGATATAATTAACGTGAATCTTATTTTCCTGTTTTCTGTAGCTTCAAAACACATTATTTACTAGTAAAATTACATTTTAAGCGCTTATTATAACTGTGTAACGAGTACTGTGTTATCTCACCTTGAATTAATCTGATTATTATCAGATATGTTTTTACTAGTATAGCTTTTAGGCAACAGCTCGTATTCGCTCGTATTCGCTATTCCTTTCATCAATATTGACAAATTGGGGTGCCGATAATTCTTATATAAAATTGTACTATTTATAGCCTAAATCTTTAACACTAATTATTATGCGTTCAGCATAATAGCGAAGTGATGATCGAGTATTCGCTCTTGAGTGTACAGCCTCTGGTTCGAATTCGGGTAAAGGCATTTTTTTCTTTTAGTTTTTGTTTAGTTGTTGTTTATTTGTGTGTTTTTTTTTAACGAACTGAATTTTTGATCCCCTAGAATCATATTCAGACAATGATATTTTAGAACATGTAGTTATACACACATTCGCATGTAACAGGTTACGTGTAAGACAAGACAGCACAGTCGTGATTAGGGTGAAAAATGAACAATTGGAAGAAAACATAATTATATGTATAAATTAATGAGCCGACATCATTAAAAAGGTCGCAAATGGAATTCAGTGTTTCAAACAGAATAAAATCGATGATGCTATTCAATCTGTTCAATGACAGTTACAAATAAGGTACATCAAATTTTGCTTAACCGTCATAAGTTTAACTTAAAAATGTTCAAAAAATTATAAAAGAGAAAATGACAAGCAATTATCATAGTATTGCAAGCAATCCATAAGTCCCCTACCGGTTCATATATCTTTTACCACAATTGATCTGTCAAACCGTTCAACGATAATCTATGTTTTCAGCCAAATCTATTCAATCTATTTAAAACGTCATCAATAACTTTTGAAGGCTAGGTCGAGGTCGCTTTAAATTATGATCATGTCAAAGAAATTTGAGATGCCTTCATTATAATAAAATACAAAAATTAACAATACAACGATATCGATCTTTGTTTCTTCAAAAAGTATACATTGGTCCTACATTGTTCAATTATGACGTTATTGACAAATGTAATACATTATACTTGAAAAATGATTTATAAGTTTAAAAGATTTACGTGATAGCTTCTTTTCAAAATCAAAACCAAACAAAAAGTCATTGTCATTATTGGGTCTATCCTAAGCGCGGTCTTGAGCTATTTTAAGAAATTACTGTAATGGTATACTAATCAGAGTACAACTATGCAGTGTTCATGACAAATAATTTAACTGCGTTGAAAGCATATAGGGGCTATGAAAACTATATTGGTGAAGAAAGTAAACAATAATATATAAAACGTTTATATCTAAAGCTCTGCTTATATGGACTTTTCCCTTTCTGACCCTTGGTTACAGACAACCTTTTACAGTTACAGCTGTGTTTAAATAATTAATAGTAAAGTTACAAAAATAGGCGCGACGTGTTTATTACTCTCTTTTGAACGATAGTACAATAAAATAAAAAGTAAAATGAAGAAAAAGATAAAACAAGAGTGCCCAGAGGGCCGTGGATCGCTCACTTGCGAGGTCAAAAGGTAAAACTAGAACCCCGTTTCACCCCAGAAGCACAACTTGAAAACAAGGGACAGTTTAAACAGTCATCAGCGGTAACTTGACTGACTGCCTTTTTATAATATATCATCCTACAATGCTGGTAGTAGGATGCGACGACATCTTAATTCAATGCATTTTTTCTAAAACAACACTCCCGCTGCTCAGTTAGTCACGACAGGTCACCCAATCACCCTTGGTTCTTAGGCTGACTTGACCTTGACCTTACTGCCTGCCTCGAGTGTGTTTGGCGTGTTGATATGGAGGATTTAGATAATGACTCTTCTCTACAATACCATACATTTTATTCTATGTTGTAGAAAAGTTCGCCTAAAGAAAGGATTTTAAACAATTCAAATTGCAATTTATCAAACATGCAAACAACACAGAAGACAAACTGGCGGTTATTCCCTTCCATACGGGAAAGGTTTGTGATGTTGTTTCTTATAAAGTTGATTAAGTATTTAACTTTATAATGATTTACAAATGTATAAACAAATGAAAAAATATCTTACCTAAAGCAGTTCTTAGTTAATCCATGTTCTATGTTATGAAAGTTACCCTGTTACATTGGTTGAATTCTCCAAAATGTTTGTATGAAATTAAGGATATTGATTAAAAACCGCGGTATTTCTTTAACATGATCATCACACACATAATTATTTTTTTTATCATTCAATTAAACCCATTAACATCTTCTTTTAACCATACCTCTGGTACAAATAATCGTCTTATATATCGCCATCAATGTACTGATAAGCTGAGTGCTGTTAGCCAATGAATGATAGGCAAGTAATAGCTTGTTTTATATAGTATCGATTCAAATATGATCGAGAATGGGAAATCTTATTTTTAAAACTACACATGTATTCAGCTTAAGCACATATTTGATTATGAATAAACCATTTGCATTCAATAACTATCTCAGTAATAAAATTGATACACGTAATAATAAGGCTTGATCATGCTTGGTCATGATGTAGCTTTTCTTAAATGACAGTATAATGCAAGTCATTTTAAAAATAGTTAAAATTGATATCAGTACTTATAACGTTTATATCTCCCACAGTAAAGGCATAGCATGCAAACAGTTTACAGTCAGGTTGTTTGATGCACAAAATGTACAAATGAAAACAGTCATCTATATGAATGATTTGTATCAGTAATATGTATTGATACTGATGTACATATAGGACAACATAAACATTATAAAATTAAGCATTTAAACTGATGATTATAGAGCAGACACGTGCAATATTCGTTTAATAAAACAGTTTACAACATAAATCCCCTTGATTCTGCCATACGTACATAAAACCACACGAATGCAATAAATCTTTAACACCCGAAAGCCAATTTGTCTTACCATTTATACAGTCGTTAAAAGATATATTATACATTTCTTTAAGAATAATATTGACTGTTTGCAAAAAATTAAGCCAAAACTTATCTAGTTATAAAGGATAACAAGCCAACTCACCATAAACAGCTGCATTGCACGTATTTAATTGAACATTTAGTATTCTTTTACAAAAACTGAAGATGGACTCTTCCTTATAAAATGTTTATGTATACGTATTATTCTTTTTTACTTAAGATATTCGATGCACAGAGTTTATTTGGCATTAAGAATTATGCAAATCGTTTCATTATATGCACTTGTATGTTATTTACTTCATGCTTCTATAAATTATTCCGACTATTAATTTCGCTTTCATTCTTTCTTTAATTTAGCTGAAAGATTATTGTTTTCAATCTGTGAAATCAAATATAAAATTTCATCACTTAAATAACAAATGGGGAAATAAACCAAAAAGATAAGAAAAAGATTATGTGGTGAAAACGTTTTTTAAGGGGGGTGGTGGCTTTGCGGGGAAGGTCACGACACTTTTCATAGACACCAGCATGGATGGTTCCAGGAAACGGCTCGAAAGGATTAATATAATTCAAGAACTTGTTTCGCAATCCGGGTTTAAAAACATTGTTCAAAACCAAACCAATCGTTTTTTTACATTTGATTAGCCTTCGACCTCCTAAATATGTAGTAATATCAGTAACCCCGGAAACCCTCGGGTCCATACGAAAAATTTGGCAAAACAAAGGTTGTAATAAGTATTACATATTATACAAAATCCCCACAATTCCCCTTTTTGAAGTGCACTGATGTTAATGAAAAAAATCATGAATTCACTTTTCTGAAGTGCACTGATGTTAATGAAAAAAATCATGCGATGATATTTGAAAAGAATTTATTTTTGTGTGCATATCTTTAACATTTTTTAGGTCAAATCAATGCGACTATCACCTTTGATATTTCATACATTCCTCGGTGAAAACATGATGACATTTGCATACAGGTAAATAAATTATCATGTACAGACTCAATCAAACCTAGTCTGCAATTTTCATGTAATTTTATTGTGATTAATGCTTCCGAAATATAACACCTTTTCCAGATTTTTATGACTGAAATGCAAGATAACAATAGATTTTTGCCTCAAAAGTAAAATATCAGCAATATTGTCGTAAATAAAGATTCTAGTCCCTTGATAGTGCTTATTTACGACAATCGTGACAATATATCAAACAAGAAAAATATTACATACATTTATATGTGATATAGGGACGATTGCATACTGACTTCTGTGACGTTTTTAATGCTTGCTGCATGAAAGGTGAAATGTAAAATAGACAAACATGTCCTCAGATATTCATATGTTTAAACCTTTTTATAAAAAGCAATAAATGTTTCATATTTAAGTTGCATGTCTTCAGATAAGAAAAATGATTTCAAGGAAATAAAAATATAGAAAAAATGCAAGGCAAATTCACTGCTTTAAAACATAATTACAACATTACCTATCCTCCACTGAGAACAGACCATATGAAAATCGTGCAAACCCGCAGAAATAGAAATACAAACAATAAAAACCCATTTTGGAAGGACATGATTATAAAACCGTTGTCGACAGATAATGTTAACTCTAACAATATATGTTCAGGTCATGAAGAGTTAAAACATATAAGGATCTACATATGTAAAGTGCTGAATATCAGTTCATTTTATGTACAACATAATTTATATGCATAATTGTCTGCACCCTCTAATGTAAATGTTGCTTAGTTAATAATTTCATATTGTATTTAAAGTATCAAAAGTCGCACAGTTTATATCTCTACAAATACAAATATACATGTACCACTCAAATTTTGCTAAGCACCATATGTCTGAGAGTAAATATTTTTGGGATAAAGAAAATTGTTTTATACTTGTGACAGTATAAAAATTAACTTATGGTGCTTAGTAACAGTTGAGTAGTATATAATTACAGTGCTCGTAAATTTTGTCAAAGAGCTGATAACATACACTTTGCGTTTGGTTTTGTACGATACATGTACATGTCATATCATTTTCGATATTCTGTGTCAGCTACTTTCATATCTCTACAAGTACGAGTATAATCAAAGTGCTCGAAAATTTTGTCGAAGTGCTGTTAACAGACATTTTACTCCGAGTGTCTCGTCTCAGATTGTTACGAGAACTATAATAAAACATTTGAGTACTAATAACACATAAATCTTGACTCGTATAAATCACTGAAGTACGACTAAAACTTGTCTTCGGTCTAATAAAACACTTGAGCACAAGTAAAATATATCTGTTTAATGTAGGTTCGTTGAAGTATGAGAAAAACACAGGCATATATTATAACTTTACTAAGACTCAAGTGCACTTATCTTGTTGATATGGATTGCAAACTGCCAGCCCATACCCCGGCTTTGTTCTATTTTAAACATTGTCAATAAAATATTGAAAGTGGTATTTATCATTTTAAATCTTATACTGTCTTATTCCTTAATAGAGCCTCAACAGACTGTAAGATATAGAAGTACAAGAGATACAACACCAAGTAAAACTTACATGTACAAGCAAATACATTTTACAAGATTTACAGGATAACACATCTTCTATTTGTAATTTTTCTGGTACAATCCTCCAAACGATGACAAGTGATTTTATCACCTGATTATATGAGCCGCGTCACGACAAAACCAACATAATGGGTTTGCGACCAGCATGGATCCAGACCAGCCTGCGCACCCGCACAGTCTGATCAGGATCCATGCTGTTCGCTTACAAACCCTATTACAAGTAAAGAAACTGATAGCGAACAGCATGGATCCTGATCAGACTGCGCGGATGCGCAGGCTGGTCTGGATCCATGCTGGTCGCAAACCCATTATGTTGGTTTTGTCGTGACGCGGCTCATATGTGTAATAAATGAAACTCCAGATCCAAATATGTCAAAATGATAAAGGAATTTCCTTCTTGGGATCATTTCTGATGCAGACAAGAAATCTCCGTCGTAAGACTAGAACAAAGAACAGACTTAGGATGTTCAGCTCATTTTTTTCTAGAAGTAAATGATTGTTTTATGGAAATCCTTCCCCAACTCAATCCCTTCACTGACACATCTTAAATTTAATTCCTGAGTTTGTTTATAACCAAAATTAAAACATTAAGAGTAATTTTTCAGGGCCCTGCAACGACACCGAACACCACCCCAACTAACAACCATAAAAGCACTAAGTTCACAGTATTCCAGTACTTATACTTATGTCCTTAATTTCCTGCTAGGGATTTTTTGGAGGGAATTTTAATTAAATAGAAAAGGAACATGAATTGAGTCATAAAACATAGAAATAACAGTCTGGCATTACAAATTTTGTATTTGCTGTGAAAAAATTGTAAAAAACATCTACAAGTTGATGGTGTATATCGGAACCCTACGCCCTGCTGAGGTCTAAACTTAATACTTAATTAACTTTTATACTGGGCTTGTTTGCTGCAATGGAACTTGTGCAGATAATTTCCCTTCCTACTGCATTGAATGGTGTTTTGTTAAAAAAAAATCAATCAAACAATCAGAGAAACGGTTAATTGTTTCAAAAATTACTCGTATGTAAACGTAAACAATTTGGAATAATCGAAACAGAAATCAATTCTGCTTATATCATATTTTTAACAATTAATGTTATTTAGTATGTAATCTTGAATTCTTAAGTAAATGCTACCAATGTATACACTTTCACATATTATGAATATATTTACTTGAAAACATAACTTATTTGAAAGAAAACCCGTATACTTTATTGTAGAAATATATTTTTCTCATTACTTTTACTATTTAACGCATTCAAATGTGTGCAATTGCGTGAATTGTTCGGCTCATATGAAATTATACATATCATGGAAAAAGAAAAACGAGTAACAAAACATTTATTATTTGTATATCAAATGTGATACATTCGTTCACGGTAAAGACGATGATACAATTGTTTTATGTATTTTATTGCATTTCTAAATTTGTTTGTTATTTGGTTTTTAAATTGATTCAATTCAATGAAACTTTGTCAACGTATTATCAGAAACTTTCACTGTCCTAAAATGAACGAATTCAATCTTTGTGGGTAAGTACTATATAGTTATGATTTACCGTAATCGCGACAATTTATTAGAGAAAATTTGTTCGCCGAGGACCAATGATCTGCTTTTAAAAATATGTGCAAATAGAAGCAAAGTTTGCGAACAACTATGTTCATGTATTTAATACCATCTAAGCCTGTGATACGGGGCGTGATGTGTTGCATGATACATTATCTCTCAAGGACGAACTCAATATAACGGGGTTTGCTATGTGAACTTTTTTT